TGCATGGTGACTTGTTCTTGGAACAGTGGTTGGATACTTCCTGACTTGTATATTTGGTCAAAATTGACTTTTGTTTTTGATTTTTCTATCTTGGGATGGGTGAATGATTTTGGCAATTACATTTTAGATTCAACCACTTCCTACTCTTTTTTATTTTTCTTTCCAAATATGATTTCGAGGGTAAAATCCTAGTTCTTTGTGCTTCGAAGATCCTCACCCTTGTCAGTATTCTTTTGTGGTTCTCATAAAAAATGCAGTGAAGAGTTAGCCAGAAAAGTATATTCATAGTCTATGCTGTGCACCAATGGAGTTCAATAAGTTCCTGTTCATTCAAGGAACAAAAAATAGAATAGCATGTCAAAAAATCTTATTTTCACAATAGATTTTTCTAATAGATACTCTGCAGATGAAGAAGAAAGTGAGAACTTGTTAGTTCACCTAAATTACATTCAATTTACAATGTAAATGCACGTTCTCACATTTAATGCAATTTTGCGTTCGAATACATTTCCAAAAAATTAACACCAAAAACCTCCCTTAACAGGTGCTAGAAGGCAAAATTAGCCAAAGCCTTTCATGAATAAGATAACTTTCTTCTTGATAATTCAGTGAATATCTAGCTCTATATTTTTGACCAATGGAAGGAAATTAGAGTAGTTATAAGCTGAAGAGATCATTTATGCTACCGTGACATTAAGCATTATTAGCTGGTTGTATTACCAATTATTTAGGGTACTGTTTTTTGTGTGCTTTTCTTTTTCTCAGGTTACTGCTTTTTGTTTATTTCTAACTTCATCCAAATTGTTGACAACATTATTTTGAAAAATCACACTTGAACTGCTGTTTATCCAAAATTTGACTTTTCAAACCGTAATCATAAAAATATATAGTTCAAGTTATTTAAAGAACTACAGTTGCTTTCATCTGGTCAGGCAACAAAAGATTTTTCTTAGAAGTTTAAGTGGACATGGTCAAAGTTGCAGAGTTGTACTCATTATAAAATTATATATGATCAAATACATATGATTGAGGTCGAAAACAAGTTTTCCAAAAGAATATACAACGGTCTATGTAACATGGTTCACTATATATATATAGTATTTTGGACGTGTGGCTAATTTTTTTTTTTTCCCGAAACGATATATGGTTGTATTCCTTTTCAAAAGATGTACAAGTACGAGCAAAGGCTCGATGAAACTATACAAGCGGTCATTTAACCACTAAGGAAACAAAAGTTCCTCATAAAAAATAATGCCTAAAGCATAAGAACTAAGCTTGGAGCTTAGATGATAGTTATCATTTTGAACTAGACAAAAGGAGCACATATGAAACAAAAGTCTAAGTTGAACAATATCCTCCACCACAGTTGCTAATCTGATATCCCGTGCTTGTTTGGATTGAATAAGGTTGAGGAGCTGCTGATTCTGAACTTGGAATTGGAATTGGAATTGGACGTGTGGCTAATTGGGAAGAGTATTTAGTTAAATTACTTACCATGGTACAATAGAATAATTAGCTTTAGCTATGGTTCCCACCGATTATTTTTTTAATAATAGATAAATTCTTAAACTGTTAAAAATAGGCTAAGAAGTTCTTATAATAGAATGTCTTGTTGACATATCTAAAATTTAGCTAGTCAAATAAGCAATGCCAAACATATTATAGGAAAATAATAGTACTTTTGAACCAAAAAGAATTTTCCACAATACATGAAAGTGTATTGGTTTAAGTATTGTTATCTACAAATTATTCGCTTGCTGGGAGTGAAGACTTATATGGTGTGTTGTACAGTCTAAATGACACGGTTCGCCCAAAAAAACATTGGTTGATTGCTGGCAGTTTCCCTTTTTTGACATGGTGAAATGTACTTGTTTCGTAGCTTTGCTGTTGTCCTGAATCAATTGAATCGTTCTTGTACATTTTTTGGGTCAAAGTACCAAACCAGCTCTAAAGATGAACGGCTCAAATTGGATGTACTATTGCACTTTCTTTTTCTTTCTTTTTTCCTTTTTTGTGGTCCATATGGAGCCATATTATGAGCTTCTTTTTACATTTTTTTAATATTTCGAACTCACACAATCTAAATCAGGCTACATCTTGCAGAGCTTAATTTGGACCATAAATTGTTTCTAATAATTATATTTTCCAATAATTTGAACTTATTATCTAAATAAAACCATGTTCCTTGTGGCTCCTTCTGAACCGGCAATTGCGTGGCATAATTCGAGAGATGCTACCCAATCTGGAATTTTAAATTTGCTATTCTTGGATCTGCAATGCCAAGAAACTCAATCCATATTTGGGTTTCATTATTTTTCTATTCACTTGAAATAGCGAACAGAATTTTATAACTATTAGATTCATTTTCATTTAGTGTTTCTTAACTTTTGTTCTTTTTTTTTTGAGAGAATTGGAGTTTCGAGTCCCCAACTTATAACCAATGATCAAAATTTGCCCCCAATCTATTTTGAAAAACAAACGTGGTCTCCAATCAGTACAATTTTGCTCGAAAGTGGACAATTGATGGGTTTTCTTCAATTTTTGCCGGAAACAAGTCACGTGAAAGCATGTGCTGGCACTTAAGATCCTTTTTCAAAATTTTAAATGTGGAAACTCATAAAAATTATTTCCAGCTTTCTAGACCCCTTTTTTTGTTAACAAAGGCAAACTCACAATTACTAAAGGTGTAACAAAAGAAAAAGGCAAAAAAGTAAAAAACACCCCTTTCTTCTCTCACTTTGGTCTCCAGCAACAAGAACGGAAAACCCTAATGCCCTAAGTTCTATGCATAAAACCACCAAATCGGAAGAAAAATCTTGAAGAACTTGGTGATAATGGAGTTGTTCATGGATCTTAGAGGAAGAAATAACACTAAGACCAAAAGAATTGAATGGAGCACCGCCATGTCATTATGGTATGTGATTTTGACCTCATGTAGCATTATGCATGCTTAATTCATGCTTATATTGTAAGAATGTGAAGATGAAGGGTGATATTTGCGAAAATTTCAGAAACCACTCTTGAGGTTTTTAACAATTTCATTTAGCGTCCTTAAGGTTTTAAAAATTATACATACCTCCCTAATGATTTAAAATGACAATACTACGCTTAAATATTTTAATGAAAATCCCTTGTTTGGTATGCTTATACTTAAAATGACTTTTAAAATTATCTTTTAATATTTTTCCTTCTTATTCCTTTTTTTTTTAAAAAAATTTTGCCAATAAAATTGTAGAACTAGCACTATTACTTTTAGTTTCTATGGTAATCAAATGTCGAAATAGTGATTTTTTTATGAGTTAACTTATATGTGACAGGTGTCGAGCCTGTACAATAATATATAACTACTTCAGAAAAAATACAAAATTTTTATATAGCAGTGAGTAGGGTCGAATCCACAGGGATTGAGGATAATTCGTTTCTTCTAGAGTTCAGAATATGAGGGGTTTTTATAAAAATATAAAAATAACCAATTAACTAAATAAAAGCAACTCAAGAAAATAAACAGGAATTAATCAACAATAGATACGACTCTAGCCAAAGGTGCAATTTTTCAGATACGGTCCATTCAACTGATCATCGATGCAAAGATATAATTCAATTATTTATCAATAGATTGGTTACAGTCGTCATATACGCGATAAATAACCAATCTTTCCTTACTTTTTCGATAGTCAAGGTACGACCATTAACTATTTCCCTAACCAAGAAATAACCCTAGGTACGATCATAGGATTTAATTCATCTATTGCATTAAGAATTAGAAAAGGCCAATCCTAACCAACAAACACCCTACGAGGGTTTGTTTAAATTAGATCATACGTTTCCCAAACATGGGACCAGTCACGCTAATCGCCACTAATATTAACCAATCAAACAATTACGGATTTAATTGGTTAATTTGGCGGTAGATTATTAGGTTAATTCGAATATTGAACCCTTGACATTCAAACAACAAAACAGCCATAAGAAGTTAAACCAAAAAACGTACGAATACCAATGAATAAAAGAAATAAACAAAAAATAATTCGATCTCACAGATGTTTGGAATCGAGTGTTCAAGTTGACTTTCGACTAGAAAATAGAGATTTAACTACGCATCCTAGAAGAGATTCCCCAAGACTCCATTGAATCTCATTGGCACTTTTAATCATTTTTTGCTCATTTTCGTACAATTAGTACCATTAACCAAATATAAGTAGAATCCATCAATTAAAATAATATTTGGCTACAATCAAGGGGAAAATAATCATAAATTGAATGACAATTTTACACCCTATCAATATGTAATCAAATGCTTTTGCTGATCTTTATTTTCTATTTTTTTGGTATTAAAATTAACAATAAATAAAAAAGAAATGGCCCTAAGCTACTACTAAATTATGATAATTCCACAACTCAAAAAATTCATAAATTCTAAATGAATTATTTCAACATTTTCTTTTCTATCTTATAAATCTAATTCATAATAAAATACCATCAAAAGTATTTTATCATAGTGATAAAATTATTAATATAGTTGTTTATCAAATAGTATGTATGGACATGAAAAATTTGACACTTTTTCCTTATAATTCTATTATATAATCTTATAATTGTATAGAAAAATAAATTAGAACTCATTACACAAGGGCATTTTTGGGTATTTATTTAAAAATTTGACCAAGTCAATATTATTTTAAGGTTTTGTTACTAAAACTATCAAATTAAGGGAGGTAGGTGTAATTTTTCAAACTTGAAGGGAGCTCAGTGAAATGGTCAGAAACCTCAGGGGAGATTTCTGAAATTATCCAATGATATTTTTACTTGGAAGACAAAGAATGTGTTAAAATTTGGATTTTTAACTAATCTGAGAAAAGCCCTAAAAACAAACTAGTCTACTGTTGTATCAAATTTAGTACTTAGAAATTCAGTGATTTAAAGAATTCAGATTTTGGCAGAACATCAACCAGAAGCAATCAAGGGAAATGACATGGACCTGAAATTCAACTTCAACCTAGTTATATCTCCCGAACTTCAAATTGGTTAGGATTCTTGATGACAATATCATACATATGCATGCTCCTGAATTGTTTGAAGTCCTTGGGAAGACAGATGAGGTCAACAGATGATGATCTCCTATGGAACCGAAGGAGGTCAGGATCATCATAGAATCTCTCCCATCCCAGAGATAATAGCTTACTCTCGAGAACACAATAGGATGCCATGACTTCATTACTTTCGACATGGACAAGTACTCTGCGACGGCCTTTCGAGCCTTCACGCTCTCCAGCAGGATTCTCTTCAAGACGGACAACACCGTTTTTGGAAACCCACACTCCCGACATTTTCTGAAGGAGAAAGTTATGCAATAGCTTGGATACGAACTGTAGAAAGAAATGAGTGGGGTATATATAAAGGTTGCTAATTAAAAGCAATGATGTGCTACGCACAGCTAACTACATAGTATTATGGTGAAATAATGTACATGTCACAGGAAAGTTCACTTCAATATAGTCATAAGTCTGTAAAGAATCTTTTGAAAAATTAATTTTGCTTTCAAAGAAAGCTGATTAGAATCCAACTATACACGACAAAAGATGAACCTCGACATTTTTTGAGTTGACAACATCTCCTTGCTAACCGATTCTAGATGATTAAAGTGCCAAACTGTTTTTCTTCACATATATACATATATGTATATGTGATTAAAGTGCCGATTCTAGATGGGTAGTAATTTAACCATCTTAGAATGAATGTTTGATAGAATTAGCCTCTCAAAGAGCTGAAAATTTGAGAGAAAATTGAAAAGACATGAAATTGACTTATTAGTTAGTTAAAATTGAAAAGAAATTGCTACATATGTTACACATTTTTTTTTCTTCTAAATTTGAGGTTAGAAAAGGTTAGGGAAGGTTTATACCCTATTTTGTCAGTGTGATTTAACCATGGAACTAACAGTATTTTTGTGTAAAATAGAAATTCGTTACTTTTTTTTCATGGTATAAACGTCCTGATATCTAATGATCACATATAGTTTAACTAATTTGAAGTCGAGCATTGTGGGATCCTTTTGGAGGTTGGCTCTTCCAAAATTATTTTATTCCATCTACAGGATTCAAATCCGAGGCCTTACCCAAGAAATATCAATTTTTTTACCACTTGACCCAATAACCTTTGGTAATTTAAACATGGAACTAGCAGCATCCGTGTGCAAAATGGTGTCTAACTTCAATATTCAATTCATGTATGATGGAGGATGAGTCGATAGTTCGTTCTCTAATGAGTTCAAAAAGGATTTGGACTAAAAAAAAGGACAATTGGCAAAACCACAGCTAATGTAATTAACAAAATTCTATTACGCTATGGAAAAAAAATGTAATGAACAGAATTCTTGCCCATCAGCTACATGGCAAAACTATCTGTATTCATGTCTTATAATGCCAAATCCACCATGTGACATAGACTGTTGTTTATGTCTTTAATACCTAGTCTAGTGCGCTTTGTTGGTGCGCACCATGTCATACGTAGACTGTAAGGCAATTGATGCAATAAGAATGTTCCAAGAAATTGGTGTGTAAATTTCTGGAATACTTTTTTGGGGCTCAACCTTGTTTTCAACGTTTCTGTATAAGGAGTTCAAATCTGCTATTTTGACCATGTACCCTTATACAGTGGCGGAGCCACATGCAAGCAAGTGGGGTCAATTGACCCCACTTAACTTTGAAAAATTAGTTTTTAGGCTTAGAAAATTTTAAAAAATTTTAAAATTACATCTTATTTGACCCCCATTAAATTTTACCAAATTCTCTTTTCTATATACATTGACTCTAAACATTTGAAATTTCATAATTTTTACCATCACAATTAGTTTGAATTTATTTCAAGTTATTTATAGAAGTTTAAGAATAATTTCATCCAAAATTTCAAAAAACAAGGGGTAAACTTTCTTGAGTGGAGTAAGAAAACAATTCTTCAAACTTCAAAGTTTCCAAAAACAAGAATTTTTCAAGTGGATGGTAAATTTTTTATTTATAATATGAAATTGAGTTATTATGATTTTTATTTATAATATAGTGAATATAAATTTCTTAAAATAAACTTGTAGAAGATCACGTTGATGGTAATTCACAAATTATTTTAAAAAAATCAAGAGGTTCATTTAGTTACATTGAAAAGTTTGTAGTTAACAAAATTGGTACAATTTTATTCGGTATGTAAGGTTAGTAGTTTTTTTTTTTTTTAAATAAGTTTTACTGCATTAAAATTTGACCCCACTTAATGTGGGGTCTTGGCTCCGCCCGTGCCCTTATAATTTGTTAAGACAATGTTTAAAGCTTCAGAAAACTTTTTTCTTTTTAACCAAAGAGATGGAAAGCAAGTAGCCATAGTTACTTATATGATTTAACTGGAATTTTTGTTATTTTGGTGTGAGAAATCAATAGTTGGATAAACAGAATTCTAGTCCTGATTTTTTGAAATAAATATCTAAAAATTGGTTAGAATGCACTTAAAAACGTACAAAAAGTAGAAGCTTAATGGGAAAAAAAGGGATTAATCCCTCCTAATCCCCAATCTAGATTTCGTACCGTTGACTTGATAGTGGTGGAAACTTTTTTTTTTTAATTTAAGAAATACTAATATGAACTAACTATGAGAAGATGATGAGAACAAGCATAATGATAATTAATCTTTTGTCCTCAGTCTAATAAACTATCTTGTTAGCTGATAACTACTCTTTATTTTTCCTTAGTCTAAAATGTTAAGCTAGTTATTCACTAAATCATCAAGAGAAAAGACACAAGGTTTATCAATTCTTATTCGTGAAATGTTTGTATGGGAATTATTTATCACAAAATTATTTGTTTACATTACAAACATATTTTTCAACACACATTTTTTGTTTTTTTAATCACTTTTTTACCTTATATACATCACATTATAAAAAGTATTACAGTAATTATTTCAAAAAATATTTCAAAAAATCTCCTATCCTAACACAATAGATTTTTGACATACAATCCTATTACCTGTTCCTCGAAGAATAGGAACATACGAAGCTTCGTGAATTCCACAATGCCAGCATAGACTTGTGAAAAAATATACATCTGTTTACAATTTTTTTTTATAAAGACCATAATAAGGAAGAAAAAAAAAAGAAGAAGAGGGTTTGGACGAGGACGAGCATCTTCGAAGCATGCAGGAAGTAGGATTTTACCCACGCAATGACATAAAAAAATAGTATGAAGTTGGTGAATGTACAGTGAAATGGTCAAAATCGATCACTTAATCCCAAAAATAGAAAAACCAAAAAATAATTGTCAAAGTCAACTTTGACCAAATATACAAATCAGATAACCAGTCACCAAGCTTTTCATGAATAACACACTGCATTATTAGCTGGCTGCATGAAATTGAAAAGTAGTAGCGCTAACGCGTAAACAAATTTCAAGAAGTTTTCATTCTTCTAACCTTTGAGCCCTATAAATACTGTCCTCCTTTGCCCACTAAACTCATAAACACAATCATCTTCAATCATTTTGATTGAAAGAGATCTCTTCATTTCTTGGCATCATATTATCTATATACATCTCAAAAATCCTTGCATATATACTTGCGTAAATCCCACGTGAATTCCAATGGATTCTTTTCCAACAATTGCTGTTGTTTCAATTCTGGTGTTATTTCTTGCTAACAATATTCAAACTGAAGCGCAACTCTCTCCAACATTTTATGATGCTACATGTCCAAGAGCACTCGATACAATTCGTACTTCCATTCGACGAGCAGTGTCTCGTGAGCGTCGTATGGCTGCCTCTCTCATTCGCCTCCATTTTCATGATTGCTTTGTTCAGGTTAGCAACTGCAGATACTATAATTCACAACTAAACACTGAAATAATCTCTGCCAAGTATACTTGGTTCTACATATATTTGGTGCTTGAGTTCGAAGAGTTCAGAGTGTACTGCATCACCGTTGTTCCATGAAAAACATAAATAATATGTTGATTTATGCGTTGTATGTATCCTAAAGGAGTAATGGACTATATTTACGAGGACATTTTGTTTTTCTACACACTTTTCAGGGTTGTGATGGATCAGTACTGCTTGACCAAACCTCTACTATTCAAAGTGAAAAGACTGCATTGGCAAACAATAATTCAGCAAGAGGATTTGAAGTTATAGAAGCTGCGAAACTTGAAGTTGAGAAGATATGTCCTGGAGTTGTTTCTTGTGCAGACATACTTTCAGTTGCAGCAAGAGATGCATCAGTTGCTGTAAGTACTAAGACATGGATTATGCATTGTTTCTTTACACATCTTAGAAGTAACTATTGAGCGCAAAACATGGACCTCCAAGCTTATGCTTCCATGATCTAATTTATAATTAGCAGCTGATTAATATCATTTTTATGAATGTAATCAGGTTGGCGGTCCAACATGGCAAGTAAAGCTTGGAAGAAGAGATTCAACCACTGCAAGCCGTTCTGCCGCAGATAGCAATCTGCCGAGTCCTTTTGCTAATCTAGGGGATCTTATTACCAAGTTCCAAAACAAGGGTCTTAGTCCAAGGGATATGGTTGCATTGTCAGGTGAGGATATGAATCAACATCCTGATTTTTCTTCTTTTTTTAACTTGCACTTGATTAATATTATTTTCTCCTACCAGTTTCTACCATTAAAACTTAGAACCCACCAACGTTTTTTTCACTTCAAATTTAAATGTACAGGATCACACACAATAGGACAAGCTCAATGCTTTGTTTTCCGCAATAGGGTCTACAGTAATGGGACAGATATTGATGCCGGCTTTGCAAGCACCCGTAGGCGCCAGTGCCCAAGTGCCATCGGAAATGGTGATAGTAACCTAGCACCACTTGATTTGGTCACTCCCAACTCATTTGATAACAATTACTTCAAGAATCTGATGCGAAAGAAAGGCCTTCTTATATCAGACCAGGTTCTCTTCAGTGGAGGATCAACCGACAGTATTGTCGCAGAATACAGCAGAAATCCTGGAACCTTCCTGGCGGATTTTGCTTCTGCAATGGTTAAAATGGGAGACATTGAACCCCTCACAGGTACAAGTGGAATAATAAGGAAGGTTTGCAGTGCTGTGAACTGAAAGTATGACAAATGCAGATGCATCGCATACTCAACATTGAAAACTGCCAGTGCAAGAGAGTCCATATTGTTTGTCCTGAGTTCATTCTTTGATTCATCGATTCAATGATTTAGCAAGTGTATATCTACTTCCCTTCCTGTGCCTTGTACTTATAATTCGTTTAATCATTCTTGTGACTTTCAGATTGTAATAATATTTCATCACAAATGAATTAGCTTTTTCTTTACAGATGAGAAACTATCTCAAGAAACTCATTAGCGCGTTAAATTTGAGAATCTCACATCCAAGCCAGTCCACACCATATGCTTTGTTTCGTGATCAGGCTATGCTCGATAATTAGTTTCTGATAAATAATAAGCATCCTACTATTAATGAATTTTTATCAAAATAAATTTCAATTCATAATAGTATTTTCAATCATAATAATCTGATAATTAAACTTTATCAACCAAAAATACACTGAGCAGATAAAACCAATGCAAAGAACTAGAGAGGAAAAAAAAAATGAAAGTATTGCTTAATTGTAGCCTCAACAACTTTCACTGCTTTTTATATCCTAAAAGCAGTAGCACAAACAACCATCAACTCGAACCGTAATTTTTATTTTGCAACCAAATTGCTTTACCTGATTGACTGCTGTAAATGCTCTTCAAAGGTTTTCAGCTGTTATTTCTGCTATATATATACACCTTAGTCAGGTTAAGAAAATAAAATATCCTCTAAAAGTCCAAGAGCAAAATCAAATATAAAATATCCAGGTAGTTAATTACTGTTGATGGCAGAATCCCAGCTCCATATCCTAATGAAAACTTTCCAAATATCAAGCAACCAAGCATCCTGTAGATCACCAAAAATTGCTAGTTAGATTTCTTAAAAGTTATAACTTATGGTGCAGGTAGCTACGTCAAGGTGATTATCATCTAATCAAGAAAAATAATACAATATGCAAATCTTAAAGTGACTATTTTGTTAAAATTTTAAAAGCAGCATATTCTTCTTTTAGAGGACAAATACAATTCAATAAAATGTTTGGTTTGAATGAACTACAGAGTACAGAGTCATGATGTAAGCAGTTATACGCCTTGGAAGTAAATCACCTCCATTATCTATTTAAAGGAGATTATTTCACTTCCATGTCTTCCAGTGAAAAAGGGCTAAAATGACTAAATAAAAAAATAAATGGGCTTTTCCCACTCTAGAATAGAACCTAAAGAAAAGTTAGTAGCTCTTAATTTAACGGATTGTAGAGAAGAGATCTCTACAAATTGAGGAAACATTGTAGTATTTGGGAGAAAAGGAACATATTTTTATCCCTAGAATAAACAGCCTAAAACTTTTGCTTTCCATCTCTTATCTCTTATACTTTTGTTTATCCCAAGCAAGAAGGTTGGGGAAGAGAAGTAGAGAAAAGAAGGTAATTTAGTGGAGGGAATTTCTTCTGTCTCCAGCCCATCACCTATGTGGAGAAGAAGTGAGCCTGTGTTGGAGAAAAGTGAGCCTCTAGGTAGAAGAAGTGAAAAACTGGCTCTGGTGAATATCTGTTTAACTTTAGCATTACATTTTGTTTCAAATAGGAGAAGAAAGGAAAGAGGGAAAGCAGCTGAACCTTGACCTCTACTCCATTTATTGATCGATTGGAATCTGAATTCTAATTCCAGGTATTGCTTTGAGCTCTCTCTTCTATTTGATTTGTCTTGGTGCTGCCATGAGTTACTGAATTCTACTTCCAAGGTATTGCTTCTTCACCAATTATATCCAGTTGCATTAGCATCAATTACAGTTTAAGAAATGAGAAGAAGCTTGCTGATGATGATGGATGATCCATTGTCGGATGATCTGATAAGTAACAAATTGCACAATGACATTCTGATAGAAATCTTGTCACGCTTGTCAATGAAAGAGGCTGCTAGAACTAGTGTTGTTTCCCACAGATGGGAGAGTTTGTGGAAATTTTACCACGGCTGTATAAACTTTGAGGAAACAAAGACTAGAAAGCCGAAAAATATGTGGTAAGGTTTTGCGTAAAAAGGCGTGAACCGAATACGTGAATGAAAGAGGCTGCTAGAACTAGTGTTGTTTCCCACAGATGGGAGAGTTTGTGGAAATTTTACCACGGCTGTATGAACTTTGAGGAAACAAAGACTAGAAAGCCGAAAAATATGTGGTAAGGTTTTGCGTAAAAAGGCGTGAACCGAATACGTGAATTGGGTGAACCAATTACTAGGTTCGCATCAAGGAGGCAGAACGTCCATTGAACAGTTGAGGGTCCATTTTGAATTGGACACGGCTGACTCCAGTAGTATCGACAGATGGATTGGTTTTGCAGCAGCCAGGGGGATTGCAGGCTTGAGTTGGACATTTCAAGTATGGAAGTAGTTTGTCCAGGCTGCTGTATTCCACACTTGGAAAGGTCTTACGACTTGCTGACTCCAATAACCAAGGTTTTGTCCAAGTTCCCCGCTGGTGGCTTCAAGCAGCTGATTTCCCTCCGTCTGAACTCTCTCAATGTAGCTGATGAGCACGTGAGCTACTTCTTGTGTAATTGTCCAATCCTGGAGGAGTTATCTTTCGCCTGGGTACCATCTCTACGTAACGTGAAGGTTGTTGCTGAGCTGCTGGTCATGCTTTCAAGTTGAGGCACTTGGAGATCAGATGCTGTGACAAGTAGCTGCATCTCGAGGTCTCAATGGACAATGGCCACCGATCTTGTATCTTTTATGTATGGTGGAAAGATTGATGCTATAATGCCGGCCCATTATCTGCTAGATCAAACACCGTCTCTTCCAAACATGCGCTTCCATGATGTTCCCCAACTTTCTTCCGTTTCTCTTGGATTAGGTGATTTTACGCGGCATTTGATTAGGCTGCCGCAGGCTCACTTGAGAGTGTAAAGGTTGACCCTCGCAATCCATTTCTCCTTGAACTCGGATTTGATTATGGGGTACTGTCTCCCAAAAGGGCACCCCTGGAGGATGCAAGGAATCGTGCGAGGGAATTATTAGAACCAAAACTATCTCCAATCAATCAGCAAACTGGTGGTTTTATAAACTCTAAATTATCTCCAGCCACAGACATTGTGTCTGGTTGTGAACTTGGATGTTTGAGATGATTTGCTTCCATTTTTGAGCATTCTGTTAAGATTATTGTTGACTCGGCTGCTCAAGTATCATGTGATGTGCTATAGTTGATTCGTGTCTCTGTAATTCTCTCCTGCTTTCTCTGCAACCAAGATTTGATTCAGTTATCACATTTACAGTTCTTGTCCTCCCTTTTCTGCCGAATTTCTTTTACCTAAACCAGTCTCACTTATAATTAGCAATTTTTGATTCACTTATCAATTCTGCGGCTTGTGCTTGTGAACATGGTACCTGAAAGATGCAAGGCAGGAGATACCAAAAATGGAGCCAGCAATCTTGACCTTTTCCCTTCAAATAAATTGTCAAATCTTACTTGGTTCTCCACTTCTCCTAGAGAAATCCATCAAATTGGCTTATTCTTCCAGAACTAGTTAGGGAATGCTGCCCAATGAATTAGTAGTATTAGTTATCTACCTGTGTCTATTTGAAAATTTGGAGCTATGGGTCGTACATATAATAGTTTTACTAACAGCTTTACTCTTTAGTTTCAATATGAAATATAGAATGTATGCAAAAGACTTTGATGTAAGTAAACTATCTGTTTCTTATAGAATGATTAGAGATAAAACGAACAATGAAGCAAACATGCAATTATGCGCATTAGGAAGATGTTATGTTCTAGGCAGAGCTAAAAATTGATCCTTTCCATAGATGTTCACTATGACCGTATCATTAACAATGTGCAGATTAGCTACAGAGTTTCTGGACTTCATTAATGATGATAAAATCTAGTGAATTCTCATCTCAGAACTGAAAAATTAGTGCTGAAATCAGTTTTATGCCATTGTCGATTTCATTTCGGAGGTTTATTGGCCAGTCATGTAATGGGGTGAAATCTCCGGGGAGACCCGTAAATGGTCTAGAGAAAAGCTCTGGATGCCATGTGCAATAATCTGGCAAGATCAACAAGAAGGATTACAGATACTAATGCTACAGGATTTACATGTTGCGTGCTGCCTAGTGCAGTATTTTTGAGTCCAAAGATTTGGAGGAAAAGTGAAGGACAGAATTTCAGTTGGAGTATTTCTCTTTCAGAGAGACGCCAGTTGCTTAATTGTATGTCAAACAAATATGTCAATTCTGAAGCATCAAAAGTGGAGAGCCCAAGAGGGAAGCATCAAATAGGTAGTGTGTTTGCTCAGTTGCTCTGGACATTAAGTGAGATGCTCACCCAGGCTCAGAGGAAACTCTCGTTCTATACTAGAAAAGAATGATTAATAATACACTCAAAGATGCTGATGCAACAAATTGTTGCTGCAGTGATGGCCTTGATAGGTCATCCCATCTACTTGTGTGCAGAAGCAGACTTAAAATAGCTGGAAATTGGCATTTCTTTTAAATTTCTGCTCCGAGGATTGGAAAATTTCATTTTTTCCTCTGTTAATTTCTGCCTAATTAATGCTTTTGGAATGACAATTGTTTGTGGATAGAACTTTATCCTTTCATGTATAAAAACTCAAGAATTTCAGGATGCCTATCTGATACCAGATACTTGTTCTAATATTCTGAACAGGGAAAAGTTGCCAGGGAGACTCCCCATTTGGATGACCGGATGGCTATCATGAATTAGATTAGGTCCATATGGTAAATTCCAGAGCAGGAAAGATCTTAGTTTTGGTTGAATTGCACATCAAGGCTTGAACCACAGTGCAACAGCAATTTTCTCTGTATCTATACCACTTCAAAATTATCCTCACTTTAGGCTTTTTGTTCACATTGGAAAGATACAGATAAAACATAGAGCATATTTTGATGTGCAAACCATATCTAAAACTTTTAAAGCCAGAAGTGAATACTGCTATACCTAAAAAGTAACTGATTCCTTTGAAGAGAGTGACTTCACCCTCATTGTAAGATCCCTCATTGCATCTATGATAAGAGCCTTTTTCTGGATTCTGAATTGGATGGCCAATGCAGTAGAAGCAGACACACTCTGTTTCAATAGGGATTCATCTTCCATGAGTTTGGTGGGGAAGTGTCCAAGAGCAATGACGCACAGCGCAATAATGGTGCGAAGAGCAGCCACTTCATTTGATATTCCAAGGGGGGCTTCGGCAGATAATGATCTAAGTGTGGTTAAATCATGT